CTGTCTGTCCTGTCTGTCTGACTCTGTCTACCTGTCTGTCTGTCTGTCTGACTCTGTCTACCTGTCTGTCTGTCTATCTGACTCTGTCTACCTGTCCGTCTGTCGCAGGTACCAGCGACCGGACGACCTCGGTCCTCGGGGCCTACCCCCTGTGAGAGAGGAGGAGGATGAGGAGGATGAAGAGGAGCCGGAGATGGAGACCCTCGTCATCGAAGCCCCCGCCGAGAAGTGGGACTGTGAGACCATCATCAGTGAGTCTGGTTGGCATGACAACAGCACAAACCCAACGCCGTCAGTTAAACACCGCCAAGTACTGGGCTCCTAGTTTCCAGGACCGGACCAGAGTGAGATGCCTGTTGGTAGTTACCTCAGCAGCTGGGTAATAGTGTTGTTCCCGGCAGAAAAACAAAGAAATACTGACTAGAACAGGACATCAGAACTAGCTGAGGAAGCAGGGAGATTTAGACAAGGTTAAACTTTAGGTTTCCTAAAAAAACATGTATAGACTCATGCACAAATAATCCCTCTGAATCATCACTTATGACCGACTAGAAGTGTGTGACACATACTGTAGTGGCAAACTTTCTGTACAGTTTCATTAAATTACCACTTCCGTGTTGTCATGGGCAGCCTGTCGGGTTTTTGACGCGTATCCTTCTACCTCTTGTCCTCATGTCTCATGTCAAATATCATGTCAATGTACTCACAGATCTTCCTTTTGGTTTCTTTATTTTTAACGAAGTCTTCACACAGCAGTATTGGCTCCAAAACAAAACAATAACCGAATCACTGATAAAGTAAAAATAATGATGAATATGACTACAATCACGGACAACTGTATAGATAACATTAAAGATCACGTTTTAAAGATAACGGTCAAAAAACTGTATGCCCTCAGGCTACGCATACATCCTCTCTCCAGTTGCGTTCCTTCTTTTTGATAGCAAGTGCCTTTCTGGTCACATGCACAGCGGCCTTATCCAATGGAAAACAAGCATTATCAAATTAACATTACAGCCTTAAAAAATGTACGGTATCAAACTTCAGTGGGTCTTAACCCCACAAACATTTGTCAAACAATTATTTAAACTCAAAAATAAACTCTCTATGATTTGGCTCTTACACATACCTGCCCTCTGCTGGGATTGTCTTGTTTTGGTTTGTTCAGGGCGTTTCTGGGCATCGACCTTTGGCCAGTCGGTAGCCCCAGCCAATAGCAATAAAATTATTAATAACTAATTAGTATATTTAATGTTTTTCATATTTGGGTTATACATTATGACAACACTGTCTGTATGGTTTCTTCCAGGTACATATTCAAACATTTACAACCGACCCAAACTCATCAAAGACCCGCCCAAGGTATGTAATGCTAGGACGCTAGCGTTATGCTAGGTTCTGTGCTAACACTGACCCAGTCTAAACATTCTGCTAGCCTCTCACTTGCAGAATTGTCTTGTAACCAAGAACACAGTAATTGAATGTAATTGTTTTTAAATAGCTTGGAGATACTCCTGGGGGTGAAGTGTGAATGCAGCACCTCCAGCACCATTGTGTTGTGTCGACTTGCTCAACTGGTAGAGCGAGGCTTTAACGCTGCTAGGGGTGAAGGTTCGATTCCCACCCACGCCAAACATTCCTGGCACTCTTGGCAATTCCTGGCATTCCTGACATAGAAAACAGGTTTAATTCCATGTTGAATGCACTGCTATACATATAGTGCTGTCAATACTAATGCTGTCATTTTGAGTTTTAGTTTGCTTTATTTTTTAATTCTGACACTTCACGTCTTTTCACATTGATATTTACCGTATTGGTCCGAATATAAGACGACCCTGATTATAAGACGACCCCCCCCCCCCCCTTTTTCAAGGCTCATATTTGGAAAGAGTTTTTGAGGACCAAATCTTGTTTTCAAAAAGAAAAAAAGTGTTTTACATCTTTTTAAATAAAGTCATGTTTTCATTATATTTTAGATGAAATTGTCACATTTAAATAAAAATTAAATGTAATCACATTTGTAAATGAACGACTTATAGTATTTAAATACCATAAAAATGAAAATAAACTGTAGTCTATTGGTATTTCTAATACCAATTAGGCTATCCATCTCATAGTGAGAAAAAACAACCATAGCCTATCAAAATTAAAATAACTGCATTAACCATCGAAGTGAAGTCTAATTGCAGAACAGCACCATCTGTGGTTGTGAATGTATAGTGACATTTAAAAGTCTAGACCCCGAATATAAGACGACCCCACTTTTTCAGACGTATTTCCAGAAAAAAAAACCTGTCTTATATTCGGAACAATACGGTAGTTTTATAGTCTGCTGCTGTTCTCGATGCGACCGCATTTCCCCTCGGGGATGAATACAGCAACCCGTCTCTGAAAGCGTCCACCAAGTGTCCATCACATCAGATAACGTAACGGATGTCCTCCCCCTGCAGACCAAGCCCATCCGGGTGTCCGTGAAGCTGGGCATCCCGCTGGACGTGCTCCCCAGCCGCGGCCCCACGGCCCGGCAGGCGGAGCGCATGGAGCGCATCAACGACTCGGACCTCCCGCGGGTCTCCACCCAGCAGCGCTGCCGCGACGAAACCCCGGAGGAGCGGAAAGCCCGCAAACAGGCCATCAAGGGGGAGCGCAAGGTGGGTCCCAGCGCGCCCTCGCTCTCTTTACATGCGACTTCACAAGAAAGTACATTTGTCAGTAGCAAGTTAAACAACAATATGTCACTGTCGGTACAGCAAGGATGTCCATAGAACAGGTTTCTAAGTGCACCAGAGTTGATGGGTTTAGCTCTCCTTTTGGTATTCAGCGTGGATAGCTAGGGTGAGAAGCGATACCAGGCCTATGCCAAGCACTAGTTGATTGTCAGGACGTACGAACATACAATAAGTGCGTAAAGGGGGATCAGTAGAGGAGGGAGACTATGCTCCTGACTATTTAGAGAAACATCAAAGTAATGTATTATAACCGATGTCGGTCATCCAGCTGCCCACCATCTCTAATTTGCATTTGTCGATGCAAATTAGATTCAAAGTAGGGTATGAAAAAAAAAAAGTATTGAATAGGTATTTACATTTGTATTGTGACCGGGAGCCAGCTAGGGCTGCTGAGAAAAAGCACTCGGTGCGGTACATGACTGTGAGGCGTCCATGATGTGTTCCCACAGGAGAGGAGAACGGAGAAGAAGGCCAACAAGGTGGCCTTCAAACAGGAGAAGGTCCGACAGGAGAAGCAGATCCTGAACGTTCTGACCAACATCCAGGGCCTGAAGCTGTCCTAGAGCCAGGGCTCTGCTCCAAAAGACTTCTTTACGTTCCCCCACCCCCCCCCCCGCCGCCCTCAACGCTGGTCAGGAGCCCAAGTCATCATCCAGAGGATCTTCCTGCAGAGGAACACGCACGCAGTGCTCCACAGAAACTGGTGCAGGGATTCCCCGCCGCCCAAAAAAAAAAGCTAATCTGCTTTCCGGTGTCAAAGGTCACTTTAACACCGGAGTTTCCAGACACCACATCTCCCTTTGAGATATTACATGAGCTCATGTACCGAGAGACCTTCATTAAAACGGCAACCTTGAGTGAAATCTAGCATGTTTTATTGAAGCTGTATTCCGTTGGGGAGGGTGAATGCCAAAAACAAAAGTGCCATTAAATAAATTCAGTTTTATTCGTTTCCTTCATAAGAAAACACATCTAAAAATACCAACACAACAATGTAATCATGGGGAAACTGTGACGCATTACCCGCCGATCGAGCTCAACATGAAGAACACGTCGCCTATCACTACATCAACAGGCCCAACCCTTGCTCGCCAGCTACACCTTAACCCCGGTTGGCATTTAAAGTCCACGTATCTACAACATCAGGGCTGAGCCTGTTCAGAGGACGGGTGCGGCGGCGGCTGGCCTAGCAACCACTACCATTAAAAGTCCAATGTACCAAACTCTGCTGGTGCACCATTAACCACGAGGAGTAAAAAGTCATTAGTCATCTGTGCTAAATTTAGACGGCCGATTGTGTCTTCAACCTGCCGTTTCCCCGAGCTCGAGAATCACCATCGGCTTTATTCAGCTAGCGGGCGTCTAACAATCACGTCTAGTTTCCCTTCACGCCGGCATGATGGGATGGTGCGCTCGTCTCCGCTGAATCCTCCGAAGGGGACGGCGCGGTCGGCGTAGGGACCAGCGGGTGGCTGCTGTCGCTGGTGGCTCACCCCTTCCCTCGGCGTCCAGCCGGTGTCGTCGCCCGCAACGTGGTCACCAGCTTTCCAATACGAGTGGAGTTCACATTACAACATGACGCAGGTTGCTCAGCTCCAAGCGCCGCGTTCAGCCCGGTGCTATAGGCCATAGGTCCACACCTGGTCCCCAGAACCCATGTCCACCTTCATACGGGCTTCGTAGTTCCCCCGGGGTTCCTCCTCCACCTCCCCGCACTCCCCTTGGGGATCCTCCATCCCCTCCACTAGAGGATCCTCCATCCTCTCCACTTGTGGATCCTCCATCCCCTCCACTTGTGGATCCTCCATCCTCTCCACTTGTGGATCCTCCATCCCCTCCACTTGAGGATCCCCCATCCCCTCCACTAGAGGATCCCCCATCCTCTCCACTTGTGGATCCTCCATCCCCTCCACTTGTGGATCCTCCATCCCCTCCACTTGAGTGTCCTCCTGAGACGTGGAGGGGCCTTTGTCAGAGACCCTGAGGGGATCCATCGCCTCGCTCTCCAGGTCCAGGATTTTCTTCTGCCGGTTGGACCAAAACGCTGGATCCTAATAACAATAGTATTGCAAATTATACAACCATCTTTACTTTACTACACATACATTTAAAAGGGCATTTGTATAAAAGTCTCCTTGTGCCTATAATAGCTCCCTTCCTCTCCAACTGAAAGGTGTTACGTTAGTTAGCATTCGCATCGCCACTGTAGCCACGAAGTCTGATACTGAGGCTCCTCACGTCATTATGTAGATGCCTTTAGTTGTCCTGCATCCCCCCCCCCCCCCCAATACAAGGTGTCCGCGCATCCTTAAAAAGTCTTAAATTCATGTTTCTAAATTTAAGGCCTTAAAAAGTCTTAAACATTAAAAATGTCATATGCTGGTCTTAAATACTGTAACTCAAGGTCTTAAATTTGTCGGGGCAGGACTATTTATTTATTTATTTTTCGGGAAGGACATGTAGAGAGGCTTCTTTCTTGCATATATAAACAGGTTATCAATGAGGTTATGAATGAGTCTCATTGAGTGACACACACGCTATGCTTGGGTTGTAATCCAGCGGATCCCCCCCCACCATCACGTGTTTTAGGTCTTAAATTTCATTCAAGGTGGTATTAAAAAGGCTCTTAAAAAGTCTTAAATTTGACTTGCTGAAACCTGCAGATACCCTGTAGTAGTGTACTGCAAATTAACTTGGCCTCTCCCGGCCAATCCACACCTCGAAGGTCCCTCCCCTCCCCTTCGTTTTGTTACTATCCAGCCTACAATCATTTGTTGTTGCTGCCCACGGTGAGAATCCTGCTCATCCACCGTCTCTCTGAAGATGCTCGGTAAATTCTGCCTATGGCTGTCTTCCCATGTTCAACCATTAAATCAAATACTTTGCTGTCAAGTGTCCTAAGAGGAATTACTTCCACCAACTCGGTTGAAGAGTCGATGGGTAGACGAGTCGAGTGACGAGAGGGATATTGACGCGTGTCAGAGAACGAGGAGGCGAATGTCTCGCCGACTCACCAGGACGGCGGGTAAAGGTGGCGAGCGTTGGACGCAAGCGTTGGTTTTCCACACCCTGTAGAGGACCACGCCGCCCGCCAGGACGAAACCCCCCAGCAGCAGGCCCAGGAACAGATACAGGTAGGTCTCTGCAGGCCAAAGACAAACCAGGGTGGTGGTTATTCCAAATCACTGCACTGGCTCCTTTAAATGGCTCTGCCTACCTATCCACCACCAGGTATGAGGTATCCACTAGTGACATCACAAGTGGGAGTTTCCACCCAGATGTATGCTGGGTAGAGAAGGATGGAGTTGGATTGATCGATACATACATCCGGGTGGACACTCCCACTTGTGATGTCACTAGTGGCGTTTATTTTGCTGAGTATATTTGCACATACAAGTTAAGTGACTTGGTGCATTAAAGACAAAGCAACCGGATGTAAGCAACATATTGAACAAGAATTAAAATTAAACTAACAACTATTCAGAATTAAAATGCAGAAGGCTGTAAGAGGCTATGAGTGCTAGAGGGTATGAAGTGGGCATGAGCATGTAGACTAATCATGAATACAGATTTAGGTGTATGCAGGGCCGTAGCACCAAATTCTGGGCCCCTATACAAGAAGTCCGGAAGGGCCCCCCCAGCGCCATACCCAAACATATCACTCAGTCGCGGAAAATGCCCACTGACGGGTCTTCTTGTTGGCAAAATCCCTGATAAGGTCCTTGAAGTCCAATGCTCTTGCCAATTGGCTTTCAACCGAGAGAAGAGCAAGACTGTTCAGTCTGTCCTGCGACATGGTGGACCTCAGGTAGTTTTGACTAGCTTCATTTTGCTGAAAGCCCGTTCTCCGCCAGCAACACTTACGGGTAGGGTGCAGAAAATCCTCAATGCTATACAGATTTC